GCAGTTGCCTTTGGATCAAGCCTTGATGTGAAACATGAATAACGATTTTAGAGATAACAAAGAGCCTAATGTTACATCCATTATGTTCTAAATATTATCCACAGGGATACACTCGGCTTTTGTTTGGTCACTCTGTCACCGTCTTCTTAAATCTCTTAGCCTCAGCTGTTGTATCTATCAGTACTGAGATGGGCTAGCTAGCTAGTGTGTTAAAGCTGTACTCAGGTCTCATGAGAGAACCGTGACCAGTGACCCCACTTACACTACAAAATGCTGTCAGCAGACGACCCAGCGATCTGTGGACAATGGGACAGATGCCATCCCCCCTGTTGAAAGTTGTTGTACTTCTCGATCAACTTTGAAACTACTACTTTAAGGTGGAGAAGTTATATATTGTTGCTTTAATCATTTTAAATGTATGATCAGGTGTTCAGGTGGTTGAATAACACGGCGGCTTGCTGCTCCATATCTCATGTTTGAAAAGTCGAAAATGATTCAGCCCTGATGACTGGAAGGGTGGAGTAATACCGTCAGGTGTGTGCTCAGCATTAAAACTGGTTATACAGGAAACGGACTTCTGTCAACCAGAAGCACCAGAACACACATACACAGACTGAAAACGAATCAAACATAACCTATGATAATTACTTAGCAACTCATCTCCCCTGAGGGCCAATCTGAGCTCAGACACACCCTCAGCGTCATTGCTCATGTCATTGCTCATGCTGTATTTTATGTCATTGCTCATTTTCCCACAAGATCATTAAAAAGTCAACAAGTAACACCTAATGGAACAAGAAGAAACCCTGTGTCTTTGAATATATGAACCAATAGTAATTTGATGGGTCACATTAAAGCCACTTCCCTGTTAAATTGAACGTTGCTTTTTGTGTTTAATATTGGTGGTAGGGTTGAATAAGCAGGATTCACGCTCATTCAAGAGTGCCAACACTATTCTGGCACAATTATTCAAACATTCACTTCTGGAAGGTGCTTAGTTTAAAGATTTATTTTGGGGCTTTATTGTAGAGACAGGACAGTGGATAGAGCTGGAAAACCAGGAAGAGAGAGACTAGGGATCGACATGAGGGATAGCAGCCAGGCTGCCTACTCAGAGGACTTTTGCCTCCGCATGGATCACGCACACTGACCACTACACTACCAGCGCTCCCTGAAGGGTGCTCAGTTGAACACAGCTTGTTATTGTCAGGTCCATTCTCAGTGCGCTGATGTCAAAAGATGCCTTTTTATAGTGAGTGAATGTAACATCTGTACTCTTAATGCACTGGAGTATTTTGACCTATGAAAACCTGAACATGGGTCACATGGGTATATTGTTGTCTGCTCTTAGCTTATTGTTAGTTAACTGATTCTTAATCATGTAATATTTATTATGATGTGTGCTGCTGCCCTCTTGGCCAGGTAACCCTTGTGAAAGAGATCTTGATCTCAATGGGTTATTAAAAAAATCACTCAGTTGTTGATACATCTTCGTTTTTTTGTGTTAATATCTATACTTTAAGGAAGAATGTGGGACTTTTTGATCCAGTAGATGTCACCCTTGAGCACCAGTATGAAACCAGAACAAACTGCTGTTTGGTGACACCTCACACTCTTGTACTGAAGCCTCCGCTCTCCTCCAGCGTCACACATCCAACCCCTCCGTGTTCACAAAGAGGAGTTATCAAATGGAACCCACCATTTAGCTCAAGCAGGTTACAATTCCCTGTGGCCTGCACTGTTGTGTTAGTGGGCTAATGTTAGTTCTGCCACTTTATAGCTTCATGTAAGCTATAAAGTGGCACAGAATGACCGCGATCTAGAAACACTTATGTGACATCCAAATAAGCAGTGAGTAAGTTTTTCTTCTTTTCTCTAGTACCTGACTAAAACAGCTTTATACAGATGGGAAGGAGCCAGCCGTGGTGACATGTAAACACGGCTCTGACAACATCACAGCCAGTGGGACTCGAGCTTCTCACTCATTGTAGACAGTCATGACTCAAAGAGACTTTTACAGAGGATAAACGAAACTTATGCTTTATCTGAGTAAAATGTTGCACATTCTTCCTTCAAGTGTGTCCACTTATGATCAGATAACTCTGAACACATTTTAAAAAGTGTAAACGGGGCCCGAGATAAATCAAATAAAAAGTTGAGTTGAAGTTAAATAACCACCAAGTTTCTCAAAAAATAAGGGGTATATAGACTCACAAGACATTCAGATAAAATGTTCATTTTATCTGGGTAATTAAAAAACTTACTGATATGTGATGGCTAGCCACAGCCATGGTATCAAACCATACAGAGGTGGACTTAAAAGCTTCTTTCATAACTGAAGGCTGGTTTATGAACCAGTGCTGTAAAACACATTTCTCATGGCCTCATTCTGCTGTCAAAGTTACAAAGTGCCATAGTGCAGTCAACGTGCAATCAGGACGCACTGTAGACATGGGAGAGAATTCTCTCTGTTGAAGTTATTGTGCAGTAAATCGCTCTTTGAAATAACCCTTTAAAGAGGAAAATGTGAGTTTCCTGCAAAGTCATCACCTGAACCCAGGACTGACAACTTCCCACCAATTACTTTGGAAGAACAATCATAACTAATGAAAATAAAAGCAAAAAAATATGAAGTACATGTAGATGTAGTTCATCTTTATGTTTTTAAACACAAAGTTAATGAGTATGATCTGCCAGTTACTCTTTGTAAGGGCACCATTAAACGTTTGCCTCTAGTTGCCTCTAGTCAGCTCAGCAGACAATACACAGATAAGTGGTAGACAAGAATTCGACTAAATTAAACGAAGAGACGGGGCAGTGTTGGCAAAAGAAAGCAGTAAATCAGAGAAAGGGTTACTTTCTGATTATACCAAGGTACAATATAAAGAACAATCATTCCCACACCTCCACCAAGAAGTCTCTGTTTTTAGTGTGAATGAAGCCAGAGAGCAAGCTTCATCCTGCCTATCTGGGATGACTGAGCCCCGCCTTGGACCGTCGACCAGACAGACCGGCACACTGTTGGCTGTAGGCCACACACCATCCTCTACATCCAGGGAATACTCCTAAATTCTTAAATTGTAAATGGACTTGAGCTTGTATATGCTTTTCAAGTCTTCTGACTAACAATAAGGCACCTTTTACTTTGCAGGTCACAGTCTTCTTTGACATTTTAATATTGGATGTGTGTTTGAGACTTCTGGTATTTTGGAGACAGCTAATACACTCACACACCTCACGCAACACAAGATGCACATCATGGGAATAGCTGAATCAGACATTTGCACCAGCTGCACATCCAACATAGCCAAAGATCACCTCCCCGCATTTTGGATCTGTCCACCAATACATAACTTCTGGAAAGAAATCACCACCACACTATCCCAACTCATTGGTTACAACTTCCCACTATCCTCCCCGCAATCTGGACGAACTTAACACAAACTCAAAAGAGATCACAATAACCCTACTTGTAGCACTAACTATCGACAAGAACACAATACTGCTCAACTGGTAAAAGTATGAAAAAAATCTGCACATCACAATGGTTAGACCTCCTTAAACAACACATATCAATGGAACAACAATCAGCCACACTCACAAAAATCAACTCCAACAATTCAACAAAATATACTCCACAATTCTCACCACCATTTTGATGCCGACCAGTTAATGCCACAGCAGAAATCAACACAGGCAGAAATTAGATTACTAACTATCCACAGTTTCATTTTTGTGGTTGACTGGCAAATCAGAGCGTGTAGTTACATGTTTGTAACTGGGAGATATTGTTGAGTTAGCAATAATGAAGATGTATTGTCTCAAACATAAAACAATATCAAGTATTAAAAATCATGGGTAATGGATATGAACTGTTAAAGAGTGTGGCACATGTATGGATGTGTGGTTGTGTTTATGCCTGACTAAAGACACCATTGTGCATTGGAGCCAGGTAAAGCTCATCCAGCTGATGAACCTCCAACAATGGACTCAGCTCCTGCCACATGAACACTCAAACAGATAGGATAGAGACACCTAGTGGCCAGGTGGAGGTATCAACACAGGACAAAATGAAATACTCAAAAATAACATGCAGAAGTACTCGTACTTCTCCCTTTTTTTTAAAAGTAATCAGTCCTAAGTCCAAAAGTTTAAATTAGTAATCCTCTGCTATCAAAAAGGCTTTCCCAACAGAAGTATATCAATCTGATCAGTTCAAGTCAATTCAGAGGCTTTATTGGGATATATGTTTCAGGAACACAAGTGCCAAAGCATCAAAGTACAAAATGATTGAAAGTCTGAAAAACTCTGAAAAACAGTGATATCACTAAAGGTGATGTTTCCCTAATCTGTAATTTATACTAACTTTCTTTATGGCTGTGTGTGTATATTTTTTGTGGTTGTTTGCGCTGTGTGTAGGTCACCCTCATCATCTTTTCTCTCCATTCTTGAAGCTCTCTCAGTCCATCCACATGTTTGCACATGTGGCAAACATGTAATTTCCTTCTTGGTATAAATGGGATCTACTTTGTCCATAGTTTCATGCATACAGGTCCAAAGCTCTTGCAACATATGGCAGCTTAACGTAATTTACTTACTTTATACCTCAATCTGAGACCCATGGGTCCATAAAGAATATGCTCCAGTGTTTTATCTATCAACATAGTTTCCTATGCAGCTTAACAGGGACCCGATGTGGTCCTTTAACAGGTGATTATAGATTGACCTGCAAGTTTGAATTGATTCTAAAAGTTTTAATTTTATCATTTTACATTTATCAACCCTACAATGCAGTTCATTATGAAGCATGTCTTGCCATGGGAAGGGCATTAGTTCTAGGTGAAGTTCATGGTTCAAGCAAACTGAGAAACTTTCAGTAAAGAACATGGTGGTTTGAAAGTGTAGAAAAACTCTAAGAGATGGGGATTGATCCCAGAAAGCCAATGACCACTAGAGTTGGATAAAAGTATCTATATTGAAACCAGTGTGGTACTAACATACAGTGTTTCAAAATGATTTTATTTGTGCAAAACAACAGACAAAATGTAACTGTAACCAAAAGACAAGAGACATAAAAGAAATAACATAGACACACATTGACAAGCTTGACATGGTTGTATGTGTACGGTGTTGCCAGATGTACGATAACTATCGTATTTGTACCATTTAGCCCTCTGTACGATCACTAATTGCAGAAAAGGCCAAAAGTACGATTATTTTGCAATTTCAATGTCCAAACAATCAAAAAATGTTTGGGATTTGAGAGCAACCAATCACATCAGCATGACTGATGTGGCCATCACATACACACCATTCAGCACCTGAGCAGCGCGACCCCCCTCTCTGCTGCCAGGCTCTACCTGCCAAACAGATCATCACCTGATGCCCAGTTAACACCCGTGGTTCGTTATGCCAGACAGACTGTAAAAAAACGCACATCACAACTTGACAACTCAAGATGCTACTAGCTCAACTACACAGCGGCTGGAGGTGGAGCAGTAAGCAAACAACACTTTTATAGTTTGTCCCTTCGTTCGTTTATTTACAGTATAGGGGATAGTTGTGCCATTCAGAGTGTTTTTTTTTTTTTTTTTTAAATACGTACAATAGTTTGAAGTAAAATACGATAATTTTAAAGCTGCGGTACATTCTGTCACTTCAGATAAAGGTGACGATAAGAAGAGACAGCTGTTACTAAGAATAATGAAAATGTATTATGATGTAAGACATTTCAAAAAAGGGGGGAAGGGGGGTTCTGGAGGTGGCTGTGGTGCAGTGCTCAATGCCAGCAAAGTACAAAGCAGTAGAGATGTGGGGCAGGGTAACGTTGTTGGATAGTTAGCTTCAATCATTTCAGACAGGCACCTTACTATTTAAAATTTTCAGTTATATTTTTCCAGTTTTAGTTATTTTCCCATTTCCTGGTTGGAGTATTTATTTTAAAAAACTTTTTTTTTATTTATTGCTATGCCAAATTTAAATACAGAAGAGTGGGGGTAACTGCCCTGCACCTCTATTAGCAATTTTGCATGATTTAACTCCCACAAGCATTCCCATCACCAGCTTAACCACACAAGAGAAGAGAAAGTCTTTTTGGTGTCACTGAAAAGGTCCTTACAGTGTCTCAATCAGCGAATTTCTTTGGACTCCTTCACTACCACCTTGCGGATGGTGGGACCTGTGCTCACAGTGGTGGTGGTTGAACTACTGTGAGAGCGAGCAGATGTGCTGCCCTTTCTGACTCTTGAAGAGCCAGGGACCAGATTCGTCGGGGACAGACCTCCTGCTTCCTGGATCAGTTGCCCTTGGCTGCTTGTCGGCCCTCCAACCACCATGACTCTCTGAGTCCCTGAAAAGCCACCTGACTGTAAAGTGCCCCCCTGCATCACGCTGGTCTGGCTTCCCCTCATCCTCTTTAATGACCCTGCAGGGACTTTACCCTCCACGACCATCATGGTCTGGGCACCAGAGGGGATGCCAGTGTGGACTCCACTCCCTCCTACCAGCATCATTCCTGGGCCCTGAGCTTGTGCAGTGGAAATCATGGACTGCCCCTGGACCATCATGCCTTGGGAAGGTAGAGTCTGGGTTCCATTAACCAGGACCATGCCTTGCAGGTTGGTGGATGGTGCCTCTGCCAGAAGTACAGTATTCTGAACCTGTGGCTGGACTACGTAATGCATCGGCTGAATCATAGGGGTGGTGGTGTAGTAGACAGGCTGTTGCTGCTGTAGCATGAACATCTGGCCTTGATTTGCCATCCCTTCGTTCACTCTGGTCATCCCTTCGTTCACTTTGGTCATCCCTTCTCTCACTGTGCTTTCCTTCACGGTCTCCCTGACCACAGTGCGCTCTGCTTGCGGGATGGTTGGCTGCACCTGGGGTGGAGGTGGCAGCTGTTGGGCAGTAATAACACTTGACACTGAAGTCTGAGCGGGAGCCCTCACTTTTTTGACTTCAGTTTGGATCTTCTTGCCTCCGCACACCTCAGCCAGGGTCTTGAACTTTAGCCCGAGGTCATCAAGGAACTGTATGCCGTTGTCAGACTCCAGGTCGCCCGCTGAGCCCACTGAGCCAGCAGGGGAGCCATTGCCCTCATAGTCATACACCAAAATGCCATCCTTAACTCCAAGGTTCTCATTTCCACTGGCCAGCTTCTGTTGAAAGAGAAAAAATAAAACGTTTTAAGTAAAAGCAAAACATGTATGTTTTTTAGCTGAAAAAATCAATTTCAGATGCGATTTTTAAGCTATATCGACTTTGTTGAGTTCAATTACCGTCTTCTCGGAAATTAAAAAGTAAAAACATTTCAACGAATCCTCACCTGAGAGTAGTAATCTGCAAGGACATAGTCTGGCAGAGCCATGCCATCAAAAAGTCCTCCACCCAATCCGGATTCTCTGCTCTCCATCTCGGAATAGAAGCCACTGCCACGGTGCTCGTTCATCGTCCCCCACGCCCCTTCTCTTTGATATCCTTCTCCATAGTTTATCATATCCATGGAGGCGACGGAGTGCTGGAATCCCATACTTGTCATGGGCGCCATTGTTGTCTGAATGTTAGTCATTGCCAAACCTCCATCCATTTGTGTTGGCAAGTTTAACAGTGGCACCTCCTGCCAAAGGCAAGTGAGACAAATATTAGGTCAACATCAACAGTTATTCTGCTGCCAAGAAGTAAGTTGGCAAATGGTCTTCAGCTTGTATAGAGCTTTTCACGTCTACCTACTACCCAAAGCACATTCACACACTGATGGAAGAGGCTGCTTTGTAAAGTTACCATCAAAGGTAACTAATTCAAATTCATATTAGCACTGATGAAGCAGTGGTAATAACTTGGGGTTAAGTGTCTTGCCAAAGGACACACCGGACATGTGGCTGCAGGAACTGGGGATCAAACCCCCAACCTTCAGGTTGAGAGAAGACAGACTCTACCAACGAAGACACAGCCGCTCACAAAAGATAACCGCTTTAAAAAATACATAATCTTAATAGTGAGCAGCTAGTATGTACAGTAGCAGCCAAGGATGGGTTTTATAGGTAATGTGTTGGTCTTACCGTGTTCTCTCCTTGGCCCTCAGTGCGGTAGTTGATGAGGTGTGACTTTGTGTCAAAAGGCATTTCTTTAAAGCCCCCTGAGGTACCAGCAGCCCCTCCACATTGGCAGAAGAGCAGCAACAGAGGAATAACTGGAAAAAAAACAAAAAAAACACGGTGGTCCTTCTCTTGAAGTAGACAACAACTTAAAAGTCTAACTCTTCACGAGCAACATGGTCTGATTTATTTTACAAACGTGACTCCTGTTAACCGTGGAACATTTAAGTTGACCTTGAAACTTGTATTCTGAATCACCTTATTGTGTGCGAGTTTTATGAGTGAGTTACACCAGTCATGGGTCCATTTTATTCTGAAGATTCAATACAGATGAAGAGTGTCTCAGACTTAACATATGATTCTATCATTTTGAACTTTTTGTTTCATGCTTATTTAGCAAGTATTATTACATTTATTTTGAGGAACTGCTTCAGATATGAACCAGGTTTTTGGGGCTTGAAATAACTTCGAGGTCTCTTGATGTCACACTGATATTGAAATACAGAGTTCCTGCTTGAATATCTTTGCCCCCTTGACTACTTTTATGCCGAGTTCGCTTTTCAGTGAGGTCATATTTTTGCCTTTTTGTTAATTTGATACGGATATCATCTTTTCTTTTTGGCTCCATCACAATGGTTTTTTTAAGTGACTGGAGACGTTTAGAATTACGTTATATAGCGTTCCACTTCCTTGTTTGAGTATGGGTTGCATTCACATCTCCCGAGGACTGTACTAGAGTACACATGAATCATTCTCGACACCACCTCTTCAAGCGGACCCGGGCAAGGTCCCCGAGTAGGGTTCGATTGCAGTATGTTTGTGTTCACAATGATCAAATGAGCTGGACTTTGGGTTCAAGCGTACTCATATCCAGGGTCCCTAGTGTGAAACCACCCTTAGAGGCCAGGCTCTAATTAGCATATTGATAGTTGTAAAAATGTACCTAACAGTGGGTTGTATTAAATATTTGATTAATAAAATCTAACATTGATAAACAAAAAGATATGTTACAAAAACAAAAACAGATACGATAAAGGCTTATTAAGATTATTAAGGATTATTAAGAGGACACATTATCCCCCTTGTCCAACTTCTCAAACAGTCCCCTGTGGTCTAAATTAAACATCTGTTCTGTGCTTTGGCCAGAATATAACATGAATCAAGCACCAGAGGAGGTTTGTGACCCCTGTATAAACCAGCTGTCTCTGAACGCTCCGTTTTGGCGTGTGTGTCTCCTCTATAGCGAGAATAAAAATGGCAGACCTGCACAAAAGTTTTGTTCTAGGCTGGGGGTGGAGTCCATGGGTGGAGATACAGGGGAGGGGAGGGGATTTTTTTTTTTACCATATTTCCACTGTGACGTCACAAGGTGAGCGAGTTTGAAACAAAGCATTATACTCTGTGTTGTAAGACTTATGCAGACCACAAACAAAGGACTGGATGGGTTTATGTCACATTTTGTGGGTCTGTAGACACTCAGGTTACCAAATATATGTTCAAAAACACTGTGTAAGTGGATTTTAGATAATGTGTCCCCTATAAATAATTCTAATTATTTTAAATGAATATTGACACAAAGTTGCACAATTTCATGATTTCAGTGACGTTCAGCATATGAGCCTGTTTTAGTCAAGAACAGTTACTAACACGACAAAGTCAGCTGTTATTATTATATTATTTTTGACCTCAGAAGTTACTGGAGCACGTCTTTTGATATACTTACTGCATATACATATTTTGTCCTCGTTCCAATGAACATAGAGAAGTACTTTAAGCATTTAACCATGTGAGACTAAAATGCCACATCATACTCACGTAGTAACAGCAGCAAGCCCAGAAATAGCAGGCCAATGCCTCCGGGTCCCAGTCCTGCTCCTTTTCCCAGCTGACCTTGAGCTCCTCGTTTCCCACACACTACTCCATCCTCACAGGTACAAACTTGGACTTCTACTTCCTGTGGCTCTGAACAGGCCTCTCCTTGTGCATCTTTCACCTCAAATGTCACCTTATAGAAACCAGGCCACTTTTCCTCCTGAGCCCTCAGGATAGCTGCGGTGTCTGATGGCAAACAAATAAAATGTTTAGAAACTGCTTTACTTGACTTTAAGCAGCCCCCTGGATTCAATACTTAAGATCCAATTTCCTCTCTCTTTTTTAAGGTTCAAAGGAAAGACTTATGGTGGACAGTGGATATCAGCAAGTTTTTGATTGACTATCTAATAGACTAAATATCCAGGTAGCAGGATGTTTCCGTGCAAAGGGAGCCTGGATGGATACAGAACACATGATGCTCACCATTCAAGTCTTTAGAAGACCTTTCGGAAAAAAAAAATATCCTCGTCACACCATAAACCCAGCTCCCACTTTAGCACTTCAAATATGATGAGAAATGACTTCAGAAGCAGAAGCTTTGCAGGGTTAAACCGCTGAATGATCCTATCATACATTAAACGATTAGAACGATTAGACCCTAAAGAACATTTTCTGGATGTATACAGAGAAAACAAGCTTTGTTTTGTCTGATTCTTATTATCGGGGTAACGTCACTGTCACATACTATCTTGAACTACCCATCACTAAACTGCAGAGCTTAACAGTTTTACTACACAAGTACCTCTTTCTTAGATAACTGTTGCGTATATTATTCTTTTAAATATACAGGTACCACAGAGAAGAACAAGGACAAAATAAATGTGTCTCAAACATGATTAAGGGGGCACCGGTAGCCTAGGTGTTAGTGCGCACCCCATTTACAGAGGCCATAGTCCTCCAAGGGGGCAGCCCAGGTTCAAATCCAACCTGTGTCTCCTGTCTCGCATGTCATTCCCTACCCTCTTGCTCTCTACAATTTCTGACTCTCTACTTTCCAATCTCAAATTAAAGGCATAAAAAGCCACAAAATAAGCCTTTATAAAATATGAATGGATGTAAATGATAACCTACACACCTACACATTCACACACTGATGGTAGTGGCTGGTATGTAAAGTGACCATCAGAAGTAACTCATACCATTCATACGCAACTTGGGGTTAAGTGTCTTGCCCAAGGACACATCGGACATGTGGCTGCTGGGGAGCTGGGGATCGAACCCTCCAACCTTCAGGTTGAGAGACGACTGACTCTACCAACTGAGCCACAGCCGCGCTATGTGGTTAGAAGCGGGGGGAAAGGTCACACATGATAAGAGACTGCAATAGACGATATCACACACCATCCAGACTCCACAAAAGAAAGATGTCGACCTGTCATTTTTGCTGGAAATGTCAAACAGGAAATGGGAACACTGCAAATTTAGTGTTGGAAGTTTGGGTTTATCGTTTGTTTTGTTTTTTCTTGTACAATATTGCGCCTCAATACTTTTTCAATTGAAAACAGATTGCATTTAGATTGTAATAAAAATGCAATCTGTTCCTGTATCATTGGAAGGATCATGTATTTATGTGAGTCATGAGCAAATATTTGAAAGCAACGTGTAATGTGTAGAATGCTTTTTTTTTTTTTTTTTTTTTTACTTTTGCAGTTGTAGTTGTAAAAACAAAACAAGATTTAATAAAATCTGTTGTTGGAAGAAATGAATTTCAAAACAGGTTCATGTAAAACTATGCGTTAATATCTGCTCTTACATTTTTAGATCTTTCTACAGTGACTTTGTTTACAGAATTAGCAGAATCTCCTCACCATTAAGAGGCTCCACCTGCCATTTACCCTCAGTTCCTTCTGGGATGATGTTGAAGACAAAAGGGGCTCCGTTGGGAAACACATCCTCATCTTTAGCAATGACAATAACATGATTAGCCGTGGTACACATCGTCTGGTGGTTACTGGTCACGATGGGACAGTTGTCGTTAAAATCTTCCACCTGGATGGCGACGGTGCCGACGGCTGTTGTAAAGGGCATTTCTGAGAGCAGAAACAAAAAAAGAACAATTAGCATTTCCTTCATTTTTTATTTACATTCTTCTAAATCAAGTTCAGAGAAAACTGGTAAAGAACATTTTTTACAAAGCTATTGGAACTACGAGAGGTGACCCCAAACAGTTCAATAATCAATGATTCATTGGAAAGAACTTCATTCGGCCAATCTCACAATCAAACTCAAGGACTGTTCCATTCCTGCTATGGTAAGTGGTACGTGGTAAATGGACTTGAGCTTCTATAGTTCTTTTCTAGTCTTCTGACGACTCAAAGCGCTTTTACGCCACAGGTCACACCTACACATTCACACACGGTAGAGGCTGCTATGTTGAGTGACCATCAGAAGGAAATAATCCCATTCATAGACGTTCACACGCTGCTGACGAAGCAGCGGGAGCAATTCGGGGACAAGTCTCTTGCCCAAGGACACATCAGACACATGCTGCTGCAGGAGCTGGGGATCGAACCCCAAATCTTGCAGTTGAGAGACGACCAACGCTACCAACTGAGATTCAGTTGCCTCTGCCCCTTAACAGAAAATAAAATGTTGTAATTGGCCAAATGAGGTGTCACTCTAAAGGTCAGAGTGCTGCCTTTTACATTTTGATGTATCGAAAAAATTAATTCATAAAAATTAAGGATCAGTCGACAATAGGTTAAATCTGAGCAGTCAGATTGAAAGATGTAACTCCTTAGTTGGGGACACACATGAATTACCAATGGTAAGGCCTCATGGGACGCTTATATTAAGGGGGAAGCAATTATCCTCAATTAGATATCTGCATGTACTTAACTGCTGGGCTTCTAATGCACTCCGTCCATATTCAGCTAAGCCATCGACTGATAGTAAAGTTTTTATCGCTGGCTAGCAACTTACAATAGATTTAAATCCTAAATCTCAAAACGTATCTGTCTTTCAGTTTTCCTCTAATCCATGTACGTTAATGAAATCATACAGCATTCAAATGGGATTCAGTTCATCAATTCCCAGAGAATGTCCTATGTTTCCTATCCCATATTCCCCTATAGTGTCGTTTTACCATAGGCACGCCCCTGAAATGTTGCCGACTTGTTTGTTCACAGATGATCCTGACAGGAGGTGGCCATCCCTTTCATACCCAAGGGAGGGGAGGGTGTCTCAGGAGTCTAGACATGACATTAAAAGAACAACACGGAAGTGGCGGACGAAGCAATAGAATTTGCTGTACAACCCTTTAGTGAGAATTTCTGCATTCAAGTCAATGCTGGCTGTAGTTCGACAAAAAACACAATATCAATAAAAGAACGCAAAAGAACCATAGACTGTAAATATTAATGGACAAAGCCTGAGTGACATCACCCATCTGTTAATGCAGGGGGTTTTGGAGTCTCATCGATGGCGGTCTGCATGCTGGAAATCAGCCTAACTTTTAGTCAACTTAATGACAGGCTGAGAGCTGTAGCTGAGGCGGGTTTCAAGCCTTTTGAAAAATTGTTACACTGTGCCCGCCTGTCAATCAGGTCAACTATGTGCCTTGTGAATCAAAACGCATTGTTCATAAAATCAAAACAGATGAGTTGTCAAACAATTCGCCCCCCGTACAATGTGTGCCAATCAAAACCTAATCAGACCGATTTATTTTTTTGAACCAGGCTGTAAAAACATTCTGTTTTGAATGGGTGTGTATGTGACTTCCCATGCTACTACAGCCAGCCTCTAGTGGACACTTAACAAACTGCAGGATTTTGCAACGAAGGTTGCCACTTGAGACGTTTCATTAAATACAGGGAGGTAGCACAGGTCATGAAAACTTTAGGAGGTTTTCAAGAGTGTGAAATCACTATATATAAGATGTTGTTGTTAATGGTCCCCAGAGGATGAATCCTAAGTCTACTTTTATTATACATTTGAGCTCAAAATCGCTGCAAAAAATGGTAAAAAGTGTCTGTAGAAGCTGATGCCATCTTGTAAGCTTGAACTAGTGCATCCCCTGCAGTTGAGCAACTGACAAGCTCAACAGCATTTAGTGGAAGAGTTTACCTTCGCTAATGCACAGAACTTTAGCCAAATATGTCCCATTGACCAGGTATGGAGATTCTCTGTCGGGAAGCTTGTTCAGTTTGATCTCTGCTGTCTTTGGATCGATGGTTAGCCAGTTGCCAGGGTCTGAGCCTTTTACATACCTACAGCAGAAACACGATGTGTTAGTTATTATCATCAGTATAGAAACATATGCTGACATTGCAGTTTTAACGGGAGAGGCTTTCATGTGGATGTGGTTATGCGTGCACTGACCTGACTTTCTTAGCAGGTTCCAGAGTGTCTCCGTCTATTGCAGGGTAGCGTGCAATGACATCATTAACCTTGACGGTGCTGCCTCCCTCTAAGAGGGGGATGGCTTTGACTTCAGGGATGAAGGCTGGACCCTCCGGCGCGTTCTTCACTTTGATTTTGAGTGGATAGGATTTAAATTTGGTCCCACTTTGCCATGAGGATCCTGTGGATCCAGTGCCGCTGCTTCCACCTCCTCCTCCTCCTCCTCCTCCTCCACCTCCACCTCCTCCACCTCCTCCTCCTCCTCCTCCTCCTCCTCCTCCTCCTCCTCCTCCTCCTCCTCCCCTCCTCCTTCTCCATCTCCCTCATAATGTACATCATGAACAGATGCCGTGGATCCATCGTATTGTGGAACTTTGTTTCTCACAACAATTCCAAGATCGAGGCTCTTCACCTTCTCATAATCCACGGGCTAAGAGGTAGCACACACAAGGACATTACAAACAAGAAGACATTGACAACAAACAGCATCATTAATGATTAGATTAGAAGAAGAAAACTTCATTCCAAGTTTCAAGTTTATTAATGGGTAATTTAAAACCTGTTAAAGTTGTAAAGTAAAGTTTTCTGTCAAGATCAAAACAAAGAAAGAGATAACATAATAGCAGAAATAAGATAAGGTCATTTACAGTGCATATCATAAAGAGTAATTAAATTGAAAACAAACTAGCTCATTTAAAGCAGGATTTGGAGAGATATGCCCTTTTGATTTGTGTCATTAAAAACTTTAAAGGTCACATATTATGCAAACTAAACTTTACCATGTTTTACTAATTATCCTCCTCTTCAGCCAGTTCAAATACGTCTCAGAGCTCCCGTTAACTTGTCTGTGAAGTTTCTTGTTCTAAATCCACACTGAACCTGTATTTGATCATGCTTATAAACCCCTCTATTTCAGCCCTGCTCAGAACAGGCTGTTTCTGTGTCTGTAGCTTTAAATGTAAATGAGCTGTGTCTGACCACGCCCCCTCTCTGGAAGGGGATGTGGCTCAGGTTTTCTTTGTCCTATTGTTTACAGTGAGAAGGCAGGCTCAGAGGCTAGAACAAACAACTAGCTATGGGAGTGTCACCCACCTGGGGGAGGGGTTAGCACCCTTTGTGATGTCATGAAGGGAAAATCTCCAAACAGCATGTTTGAGCATACATTTTCTGAAAAGTGAAGCAGGCCAAAAACGGAGAGGATGGACTTTTCTCATAATAATACTAGACAGACTAGGGACACATATTAGTGTTATAAAAACATGGTGAAGTGTATTTTGCATAATATGTGACCTTTAAATTGGTGATAAAGTGCCCGTATTTAAACATCTCACACAGGTTATAGTTCATACTTTCATACTGTCATGATTTGGTATTATTTCGTTTTGTATTTTCAGTGTTTCTTTATGTTCTAGTGTGTTTTCATCAGTCTTGAGTTCTGTGCGTCCTCAGTGTTTCTTGTATTCCTGCCTCTGTGTGTTTCCCTTTGTGATTGCCCTGATTGTCCTCACCTGTGTCTTGTTAGTCTCACCTGTGTCTGATTCCCCTGTGTATTTAGTCTCTGTGTTTCTTGCCTTCTGTGTCCGTTCATTGTATGTTGTATGTAGTCTGGATGTCAGTCGTTGGTATGTCAGTTTTTTGCTCGTGCTCCTCTGTGGCTCCCTGGTTTTGATCCCTGTGTTTTTTGTTGAACTTCTGTAAGTAAGTTTTTGTTGCCTTTGGCCTTTTTGTTTAATTAAATATTTTTGTTTTTTCTGCACTTGGGTCCACCTCCCTTGTTTTACACACCGTACCGTAACACATACAGTATCATCTTTTTTTCATGATGGAAAAGTCACTGCATTAACCACGTTCATTATACAAAAGACTGGGTGTGTTACTCTTTTAACATTACCTTGACCAGCATTAGGATCCCCTCGTTGTTGTTTTCTGGGTCTTTTTTAATACTGAAGTACCCCGCTTCATTGCCTTTCACGATGTCAAACACGGCTTCCCAGTTTTCTGTGCCCTTCAGATCTAGGTCACTTGCTTTGAGTTTCATCACCGCCACATCTTTTGTGTTTTCTTCAATTTCTCCCTCATACTGCAAGTTGAACACACAGGGAGAGTACATATTTGTTGATAAGAATTGACCCATTGCCAAGCCCTGTCCGCGAACGCCACAGGCCAATCACATTTTGTGCAGCTACATAATTCACTGAAACAAAGACATTTCTTTAGTTATAAATCAGAAAAATGGTTAAACGATGTGCATGGGGTAAACTCATCAAACTTTAGCTTCTTAAAGTTAGCTCATCATATCACCTTTTTTAACTTGGTCTCAGTTTTTAAAAATCAAAAATCAGTGTGAGCTGATGTGGAAGTTCATAGTTCAAGCCCAACCACATGAAAATTGTTGATGTTGTTGATCTGTAAAGGTCATAAACACCATTGCCTCAAATTAAATATGCTATTCAGTGTTAAAAATTGCCGACCCAATGAGCTGCCATTGTTTGTCTGGAAGTGCGCGGGGTTTTGCGATAGGTCAATTTTAAAGGCTTTAAATGTTTGATCTGCTACTTAATTATTCTCTATGTATTATTTATATTTATAAGGAACCATTTAAAGATATTTTGGGGCTTTTTTTGCCTTTATTGGATAAGAAAGACAGAAGACTGATGTACGGCTCACACAGACAAAAATGACAAAAACAAAGAACAAAAAAAAGTGCCACATGAGGCTTGGAAGCTCCTCCCACTTCCTATTCATCTGATTGGCTGATGTCCTTGTTCGTCATCATTCTTATTTTTTCTTTTGTGTTTTTTTTTTCTTTTTCTTAACGTTATTCCAGAAAGTTCCTCGGGTACTGTTACCTGATCGGCCACTGCTGAGTGACTGACAGTTGGCGTGTTATCTAAACTGACCAACGGCAAAACAGCAAAGCGCCATAGGCGGATTCAAACCCACGGCCACTGCGATGAGGACTATAGACTCTGCAACAATTCTAAAACCTTGTAGGAAACTACTTTTTCAGACTAAAAAATATGCATTTAAACTTTTCATAAGATAAATGTGAGAAAGAAATCTACCTCCTCTTTTTCCAGAGTGGGCAGGTGGTCATTCACATCCAGGACATTGATGGTAACAGTGCCGGTGCCGGTATTTCCGCCTGGTCTGCCATCTAAGTCTGCCCCTATCACTTTCAGAGTGTACTTGTTCTGTTTCTGAATGAAGAAAACATTAGACAATCTTAAACTAGGTGTAAACGGAAGTGTAACAACTGTCAACAAACACATTTCTGTCCTGTCTAATATCACTTTTAAAACACATTTACAGCAGGGCAGGGCACAGACATGAAGACAGACATAATGAAAATAGTTACAAAAGAAAACCAGTGAGTTGCAGTTTGTTTTTACAAGTGGTTGCTTTTGATAACTCCTTATTACTGCTGGAGAAAACCCCAATACAAGTATTTTTTTAATAAGATTCTGCAATCATTTTTTCCCTTATGTCAGCTTTAGCATAGGATTTTAGGACTCCGAATCACTGCACTACTACTTGTTAAAAGTATAAAACAACAATATTATCTAGGAATACAGTAACTTTTATTTATACAATGACTGAAAACGTACAGATGTTTTGAGCCTCAGCTTGATGTTCTCTCAATAATTTGGCCCTCAGGATAAACTAATCAGGGAACACTGGTGTAATGCATACCTCTCTGTCCAGAAGAGGACTATTGACACAAACGGTCCCATCTTTCTTAATATAGAACATGTTATGTGGTGGATCCTGACTGATGAGTCTGTAGCTGATCTTAGAGTTGTCATTCTCTGGTTCATCCTTATCAGTTGCATTTATTGTCATCACTGGTGTCCCTGTAAATAACAACATGAAAAGAAGCAGTCATTCAATGGAGCAATTCAAGTTTAGACTTCCTATTTTCTGATATGCACTGATAACATCAATGTGAGGTGGATAACCATTCACTTCACATTGGTGAAAATCTTGTTGGGGCTGTAGCTCCGGTCAGTAGTTACTGCCACGCGGTCTGATGCTGCACTTTGATCCTGAAGCAGACAACAGGACAGTGGAAGAATGGCATCCTGTAGCGTGGCGCAGCTTGTCAGTATTTTGATCTATTAAAGATACGATATGTAGATTCCGCCACCAGGGGGCTTTCAATCAATACTACAAAAAGAAAAAAGAAACCGACCTGAAGAAGAGAATATGTTTACAGACGAGCTAATGTATCTGAGTATAATTTACATGACGTTTTTTTATCACAGCAGCACATACAGCAACAGTAAGGCAGCTTTCAGTAGCAGCTCCCGCTTCTTTATGTAGTGGTTTTTGGTATTCTACATTTAAATGGAGATAAAGTTGTGTCTGCTGTGTCAGGTAAAACTGTCAAATCGACGTGGATTTGTAACTACATATAGAAGAGGCATGTAGACATTCACTCAACGGAGGACTGAACGCTGATATATTGTTAGCAATGCTAATGTTCTGCTAACGCTCTGCTAACCTATTTTTGACATTGATTACAGCTGGGCCAAATTCCACCCACAATGCACCACTTTTTGGTTCACTTGTCATGTATGGTCCGGATCGCGTTCTCACGCAAGGCGATCCGAACTCTGGTGCACTCGAAAGCAGACGGGGACCCCCTGTGTTTAAGCGAACTAGAGTTCAGTTCTGTGGTCCGCACCAGAGATCGTTTGAGCATTCACACCACCCCAAACCAAAGGAACTACCCGCGCACCAGAGCTTCAAACAGGTCTAACTGCTCAGGTGTGAATGCACCCTTAGCTGAAAGAGGTAAAAAATAGTTGATCCCTCACGATGTGTAGGTTTAGTTTGCCATCACATGCCAGTTTACACATTTGTAAGAGTTGCATAAAAAAACAGAAAAGCTTACCTGGATTGCTAAGCTCCTTCACCGCCCCTTGGTTTTCAGTAGAAAAAATCGGCGTATTGTCATTCTTATCTTTAACTTCGACTTTTATGCCAATTCTCGTCTCGGGCTCGCTACCATTTTTGGCTGTAGCAACACCAAGCAGCTGGAACAGAACACACAAGTCTTATTCGCTTGTCTTTGCAGTTGTGGTTACAATAATAGAAAAGCATTCATACAAGTTACAAACAGCTGGCCACTTTCTGGGATGTTATACAGTGTAATGGGCTACTAGTGAGTGCTGTCACAGTAACTCCCTGCTTAGCTCCCACTCTCATTAACCAATGAGTGATGAATTGCTGTGAGTAGTGTTCAGCTTTTTCAAATCTGCACCTGTACTGTTTGTCTCTGACAAAGAAAACAGTGCATCGACACGTTGGTCCTTTGCACCTGAATAAATGAGGCGCAAGTGATCTGTGTGCTCCATTACTTTCTTTGGATTCTGCCTGAGAGAAGGAGACCACTGAATTATATTTTGAACATCTAAGGTAAATGGACTTGAGCTTGTATAGCGCTTTTCTAGTCTTCTGACTACTCAAAGTGCTTTTACACCGCAGCTCACACCTACACATTCACACACTGATTGCTATGTAGTAGTACCATCCATCAGAAGTAACTAACTGAAGTAGAAGTAGAAGTAACTGCGGGAGCAATGCAAGGTTAAGTGTCTTGCCCAAGGACACATCGGACATGTTGCTCAGCTGGGGATCGAACCCTCGACCTTCGGGTTGAGAGGCGACGACTCTAGTTTTATAATCTCATCAAATACAATAAAATCAGAAATTACTTTAAAAAAAAAATGCATAACTTACATTGTAGACAGAGAATTCCTCCCTGTCCAGAATTCTGGTGACCCGAATCCATCCCAAGTCAGGATCTACTGTAAACACATGGTAGGGTACCTCGCTCGCACCGGGCCTTCCAGACGGTAATGCAATTGGTATTTTAATTTCAAATCGGATCGAATCTGAAACACAAAACAGAGGATAGGACAGTGAACTTGTTCTTCGATTTCTAAAGAAATTGAGACAAAGACATCCTTCAGTCAAGCTGGACGTCCAAGCCACATTTGGAGGCATTCATTCAGGGCCGTTCGCAAATAATTTGCTCACAAGTCCTTGATAAGCAGACAAAAGGTCAAACTGAAATGGTTATGATTTGAGCCACAGCTGCTACTGAAGAGACGCAAAAAAGAAATCTCGGAATCAGTTGAGGAAATGGCCGTATGTGTAATGTCTATAAATAGAGTACCCTAGGTCACTGGGAGTGACCTGCGTTGCTGTGCATTCTGGGAGTTGGTGTCTTTCATCCACATGAGCCAAAAAGACACTTTCTGCCTTTTCTTGGCCAAGAAGGCACCAACTTCAACATTTATTTCACATTTCTACTACATTTATTTCACATTTCTACTACACTACTTCTATGGGTGAAGTATCTCTTTAAATTTTCTCAAATATTTCCAACAGTTATCAAAGCCAAATAAATCCTTCATTTTATAGTTGTAATGGCCTGTGTCTTGTTGTGGTGTCCGCTATGGCAGAGCTGCCATGACAAACACGACATGTTTACTGTTGCCATGGAAACACTGGATGTAATGTTACATCAAAGGCCGCTGCATAAGGAAGCAGGAAAAGGTCATGTTAATTATACTTGGATACATTGTAGGTAAACATTCTACCTACCTTTCTCAGGTCGGTTTCAATCGTTTGTCTTAAAACTACGGTCAACTCGGAGTCCGTTTTCATCGGGGGTAGCAGAGAGAATCACTCCCATGATTCCCCGCCAGCTTTGACGTAATCTTTTGTTATTGTTTTCATTGAGAGCCCCCTAGTGGTGGAATTTACATGCTGTACGTGTAATATTTACATGCTTTAAAATGACTTTTCAAACAAGGTTACAGTGCACATGAAACATTTTCATAGTTTTTTTGTTTTTTTATTGCATAGTGAGTGAGTATTGATAGGCTGCTTACTGCCATGGCTTCATCTGTCAGCTTAAAGCAGCAGTCTTGATCTAGAGTTGGTTAGAATGAAAGTGCATTAACAGTCCAGTGACTCACCTTTGCGATAAACTCTTTTTTTGTGTAGTCCTCATTTTCCATGAGTGGCAATGGAGGAAGAATCCATTCCCTTTTTCTTCTAGCCTGATGGATTCCAGACTTGCCCGTTACCACAGTAACGACCTGGAACTGCAATACAAGAGATAAGGGCTGCTCGTTTACGGCAAAAATCATAAACATGATAACTCGTTGATTTTACAACATCTGCATCACATTCATTAATCAAACTTAAACTCTCTTAAAGTCTCTATCCTTCTTCTTGCCTCTCTCTATCTCAATTTCCAACACCCAACATAGTTTCAGCAGATGGCTGTTCATCATGAGTCTGGTTCTGCTCGAGATTTCTGCCTCTTAAAGGTCACATATGATCCTCCTTTTCAACCAGTTAAAGGTCCCATATTATGCTTTTTCTAGTTTTATATGCCCTTTAGTGTGTTTTCCAAGTGTCCTGTGCATGTTTAGGCACATCTATTTGCAAAAATTCAAAGTCTGCGGAAACGCTGCTTCTCCTACGTCCTCCTGTTAGCTGTAGCATTAGCAGCATGTAACGCTCGGTTCTAGCCCCCCTCGATAAAAATGTGTCAGTCCGACGTCATTGTCAGTGTGAGATCACTGATCTAAGCCCATTGGCTCGTTGTGGCTCATGTTGAAATTTCCAAAACGCGTGCTGAGCAACTGACCAATAACGACAGAGCTGATTGGCAGACCAATCAGAGCAGACTTGGCCCACGTGGGGTCTAACAGTGTGGGCTCAGCAGAGCGTAGCTGACAGACTCAGAGCGTAGAGGGAGCAAGGAGGAGCAGTACATGAAAACAGACACTTTTTTCGGACTTTAGCTATTGTGAACGTACAAAAGTAGGTACATAGATTAAATATACAAACCCCAAAAAGGGCATAATATGGATTCTTTAAAATAAGTCTCAGAGCTCCCTGAAACATGTCTGTGAAGTTTCTTGTTCTAAATCCACTCTGATCCTGTATTTGATCATGCCTATAAACCCCTCTATTTCAGTCCTGATCAGAACAGGCTGTTTCTGTACCTTTAAATGTAAATGAGCTGTGTCTGACCACGCCCCTCTCTGGAAGGAGATGTGGCTCTGGCTTTCTTGCCCCATGTCCTATTGTTTACGGTGGAAAGGCAGACTCAGGAAACTCGCATTCATACGCTGCAGAAGCGACGTGTTAAAATCTTAACAAGGTCTGAAGAGAGGGACAGACGATGAGCTGTTGCAAAGTCTGGACTCTAGACCAAGGTGGGTCCGTTCGATGGGACACCTCTGGCCTGTTTGTCCTGTACACACTGAAGGTAACATTATGAGTGAGCCTGTCACTTTATAAGAGCTAAACTTGTAGAAGAGTTTTCATGGTGTGTAGGGATCGGATTAGATCATGTGAAAGTTAAACAGATTGTGTGAGAGAATAATTAAAGTGTCAACTGAGATGTCAAATCAGCGGAAATGTTAACTAAAAGGAATTTATTTCTATTTCCAGTCTCTATAGGCCAAAACACATTATAAACAACTTTTATAGAGAAATGCATACTCATGAGCTATTTGCACTCTAAGCTTTACTGTATTTCTCCAAACAAAAGGCAAAGTCTGCTGGAGACAAATATTCAAGCAGATATTTTACAGGTTAATCGTGCTATTACAGCAGATTGCAAACCCAGTAGGCTGTGCAGTTTATGGAGCTGCATAATGTTCAAGTCATACTGTTTTGGTCCAGACTTTTTGGAATGGGGTGGCCTAACTAGGGCACTGACTTGATTACCCCTCCTGTCTGCACTAATCACAGCCACTTTGCAGACATTTGCAAACATCTGCACACTGAAAACTATGAGCTGCCTGTTGACAGCTGTTGTCCCACCTCTGGCAAGGTAAATAGCCAAGTCGAGTATGATAAGGGGATGGCATGGGTCTGCCTTGAAATCCTTTTGGCCACCCCTCTGGACAGTAGCTGTAGGTCTTCCTGCAGCATTTGGCATCATCGTCAGGCGACATTCCTCTGAAATGAGTGTGCTCTAGTTGTATAATAATAACAGAAAGAAAAAGATAGAGTGCAGGCTCTTTTGTTGAGGCATCAATCTGTCACGTACTATGTAGCTGTTTGGAGAGTATAGACGCGGACACACCCTCCATTCCTTAGAAGTTTATTTGAGCCTCATATTTTAGTCAATGCATGGGCAGAAAAGGTACGACATGACAAAGAAAAGGGCATGGCCCCACATCGTGTAAAGGCCTATTCGCACAGAACTAGTGTTACCCAGGGACTTCTAGTAATTTGTAATAAATGTGGAGGTCGTCTGTGATCTTTATGCTGTGCGAATCTTCTATGTCCATAATTTGTAAAGTAAAAATTCCACAGCAAATTACCTCCCGTGTTTCACCAAACACAGAAGTTATGTGATAATATTAGTCCCATGCGAAATCAGCATCTTTGTGATTTGCGGTCGTTTTTTTTAAAGGTTTTTTGTGTTCTCCGCGCCTTTTTCTGCCTTTTTCCCGGTCAAGAATTATGGAGGCTGAGTTGGCATTCATAAATGAAAGTTTTGACAGCTTTTTGGGTGCAAATTCAGGAGGCTCATCTAGCTACACAGCATGGAGACCCAATATGTTGTTGTTTTTTTTTCAAGCTAGCCCAGATTACATCTTTTACATCTTTGTTGTCATGGCACCCAGGTCTTTTAGCCTATAATTGGAGGCTAATCATAAACAAGATAACTTTATTAGCCTAAGAAGTGTAGAAGTAAGCAAACCTACGGAAAAGGATTAGGGCCACACGTAAAAAAATAGAGTTCTGACTTTAAACTCAGAATTCTGAGAAAAAAGTCAGAACTACGGGTATCTGTAAGGACCAACTCCGGTGGATAGTCACTGTGCAGGACTGAATGTTATTCATTTTGCATTTCATAATTGTCCACACACTTCCTTCGATGTTAATGCCAGTGGACTAATATCTTTCTTACATTTGTGTCCAATATGAATGATAATAAAATGCTTTGTAACATTGTCAAAATACTGGTTTTTTTTAAACCTTATTTACCCTATCTCTTTTTACCTATATGGAATAAGGGGCTTCATCAACATTCAACTAGAGAACTGAATGTAAATGTGGTGAAAAGAGTAAGTTGGCTACTCATTTAAGCAATTCCATAGTAGTTTACATAAAAGTTTCACCTGGGTGGTACACCATCTTGCAACTCAAAAAACAAAAATACATCATTAAACTATAGCTGTGAACAAAAATACAGTATCATTAAACTATAATTGTGCACACAGCAGTGACAAAGCATGCCACGCTTTTTGCTGGTACCCCTAGTTCTGACTTTAAAGTCAGAACTCTATTTTTTTTGTGTGTGTGGCCCTAATCCTCTTCCGTACAAACCAAATATCCCAGTCTGTCTGAAGAAAATGTTGCGAACGGAAAACGCCTGATTCATTTTTTTAAAATCTATATTAATTTAGTCTCTATCTACAGGTGGCTAACGGGAGCTCTGCTCTCTGTGTTAACAGGTTTGCTAAGCAACGCAGTTTTACCTAAGAACAAACAACACTACACTAGTTTAAAAAAAAAAAATCGTTGGATAGTCAGAGGTCCAAGTGAGACAAGTTATGCAGAGAAATGCATCCATGCCGAGAATTTAATGAACCTTGCAAGACAATTCAAAATCTGAAAGACCAAATTTCAGCATCCCTTAAATTACTTCTACAGACACTTGAGAGTCAAACAGAGTTTGCAGCTCTTATTCACGCAGACGAATGACAATGCGTCTTCTACCGAGTCTACAAAACAATATGGACACTTCATGTTTATTAGGTATAAACTTCAGATAGTCTGTCATCACAGAACTTCCGCGAGGTGCACGCAATTGTCAGCAGGGATGCATTTCTCGACATAACACCTGTTACCCATTACTCACCACAAACAGCAGCGTGAGCACAGCCAGAGCGGGCGACGAGAGCCGAAACATGTCTGAAGAAAAGCCTCAGTACCCGTGAGATGTGAGTCGATAGAGTTCCTGAAAAACAATGAGCTCGGCTGATGGAGTGAATAGGAAGCTTATGGAAGAGGAGGAGTGCCTCACTCACAGGGAGACACAAGCAGAGGACCTTACACGTGCACGCATACACGCGCGCGCGCACACACACACCTCAGGTAAGGGGCGCGCTGGTTCTGTCAGAGACAAGCTCTAAACTTCACCACCTCACCTGTAGGCCAACTTGCCGTAGTCTAGCCCAGGGTTTTTCAAAGTGGCGGTCCTGACCCCTCCGGTGTCAATGCGTCTGAATCTTCATGTGAAACGTTTAAGAAAATAGTTCTTTATGATGCGGATTTGTTTGTTGTATTATTCTACCAATAACAATGAGTCTGGGAGAAGCACAACAACAAACACAAGATGATACTCTCCGTACATGTTGATACTATTTATTTTCAGAGTCTATATTTAGTCTATATTTCAGATGGTATACTTCAGAACGCTTCTCCTGTCTAAAGGATTCAGTCTCTGAGTAAACCCCTCCAGATTAAGGTATCTGATTTTGAATAATCTGCCCAATCTGCAATAACGCAGGAAAAACAACACACCCTTCTCTACAATGCGCTCTTCAACAGCAGAATGCTAAGATGAAAAACTTGCATAAAGCCAGTAATATGGATGACAAATTCACCGAGACGCTGTTTAATTATTTATTCACATACTTCTACACGCATGATCACTCCTTTTTTCATATTCATCACGTGGTCACATCTATCCAATAGCCCTGCTCCATCGCTCATCGTTAGCCTATCATACTGCTGCTGTCTTTTTAAAAATATTTCTTTCTTTTCCACTAGTTCATTCATGCCATCATTACAAGCGACCCTCCACCTCCCCATCACCTCCAAGCCTTCGCAGTATCATCACATTCTTCATCAAATCAGCCTCAGATCACAGTATGGTTCATCCTTGGTTCATCAGATTGGTACCTCGTGGCAGACATTGGTCAAAGTTTTTACAGGCTTACAACTGCTACAGATGACGGATTTTCTTTGTTCATTTTTC